ACATCAATTATTAAACAATTGTACATTAATATCCATATTTCTCAATTTATACTATTAACTCCATATACTTCCACAATTTTCCAAATTCGTCTAGATCATATTTTAACCATGTAGAATCAATATACATCATTTCTGGACCTTGTATAATTTTTCTACAATAAGTCCAAATCAAATTCAAAGAATGAATTCACCCTCTAAACAACATTTCCATAAAATTCTCATAATTTTATCATATGTTAAATGCCATAATCATCATGTTAAGATAATAGAGTTGCCTCATTTTAAATAAATAAGATAATATGCATAATTTACCTCAACTTCATATTCTGGCATTTTGCACTCCACTCAAAAGAAATATTATTTTGTATTAATCTAGGCACTTAAAAATTATTATGTTTGTACCTTAGAAACAAGACTTGAATTGAATCTAACCATATAAGGCACTTCTTCTAGTTCAACTTGTACAATTTATGGTAAATTTCTAATCCCACTTACAAAATCTATTTTGAGCAAAATCTGCTACCCAAAATTTCTAACCTATCATCGGTTAAAATGCATATATTTTACACTTCTAGACCAGTAGTCATCTGTTTCAAATTAAACTAGATTGATTTAAGAATCCAACAATATAAAAATAAATTATAATCATTTTGTAGAATTTATTGTGATTTTATAAACTTATTTTTCATATTATCAATTTAGGCAGATTTCACTAATTTGCATCCTTAGCTTATTCACTAATTTTATTAGCTTATCAAATGAACGCATATGCATGAATTCAAGTTCCTGTCATCATTTCTATGCAATCTCAATCAATTCCTTATAAAAAAAATCGACATTTAATCTTTTTCATAAACCTTAACCCTAACCTTAACCTTAACCAAACTCATCTTTAAACATTTTCAATTGATTTTAATCATTATTCAAGCTTTGAAACAACTCTATAATATCAACAACACAAAAATCTTTCCTTAAATCATAAAAATCTAACTTACTCAGCATCTACTCTAACAATCAAACCAATGATTCAAGCATGGAAACAATGAAATATTATCACCAAATGATAGAGAATTTGACATGGATCATTTTCCATTTCACGACTTAATCCAAAAGTCAAAGGAAAATGGACTAAAATGAAGATAAAGAAAGAAAACATACCTTCCCTTCATTTCATGGGGTTCACGGCAATATATAGAAAAGGGGAAGAAGACAGTTTTTTCTAGATTTTTCATGAGACATCTCATGTACAAATGGCTTAAATTCTAATAAAATGAATTTAAAATTTATTTTAGTTCAAAAGTCAAATCTAACTTTAATGAATCTTGATATTTACCTCCATGTCATTTTCATAACATTAAATAAATATAAAATCATATTTATTTATTTTCATCTTTACCCTTTTAATTTTTCAAAATTTCAATTTAGTCACTTAAATTCCATTATTCCACTTTAATATAGAAAATCTACTTAAATCTATTGATCCGTTTTAAATTATACTAATTAAAAATATAATATTACTAACCTCATACTATCATTCATCAAAATTTTGTAAACTTTCGATTTGATTTGATTATCTGAATATTTTACTAAACTTTATCACTTAATAGCTTTTTAAACAATCTTCATATCAGAATATGAATTCTATATAAACTCCATTATTAAATATGAACTATTCATTTATGGAATAAATTTCTTTTTGGTAAAATTACCACTTTGGTCTTTAAATTTTTTCTAAGTTTTTACTTTGTAGTCAAACTTTCAAAATTTATATTTTGGTCACTTATCAAAATTTTAGGGTATTACAGTGTATTTATGCTTTTGGAAGCTTGAATATAAGTTAAATGGCAAGGGGCCATTTTGAATAAATTGGAAATGTTGAGATGAATTCTAAAAGAATTCATTTTAGTGGTTGAAATGTGAAATTGGAATTTGTCATGTGAAAGTAGTGATGAATATGAATAGTAAAGGACTTTAAAGTGAAATTAGTATTAAACTAGTATCGAAAGAATTCTTAACGAATTTTATTCCTAATATGTGCTTATATTAGAATCGTAATAATGTGTATTTTCAATTGTGTGTTATGTTAATGAGGCACATAGATCGTGACCTAAAATGAGATCTAATCGAACTAAAAGCTAAGGAAAAAGCACAAAGTGAGGTTATATCGAAAGCAAGGTTTTTGTTAGTGAGGCATTTCCAGGTGAGTGCATTCTTACTTATATTATTATATATGATATGAGGAACACTTGTGATGAGTTAACCTTAAATTGTTTGAAAGAAAAAGTATTTAAATCTTATTTTGATCTATTTTCATATTGGTTTACGAAGAAGGTATTCATACTTTGGGTATGAAATTACCCAATACATTTTATATGATATATTTTATTAAATGGTTTTATGAATGATTTTGGGTATGAATTGCCCGATGCACTTTTCTATAATATTTGGATATATTAGTATTTGTGGATACTCCTTATAAGTGAATGATATATTATCTTGTTCTAAAATCCCATTGTATGTGTATTAGAATTGTAGGTACAATGGCATGTCATAAGGTGGAATGTTTATCGATCAATCTTGTATTAGTGCATTCGTGCACTATTGTATTAGTGCATTTGTGCACTCCTGTATTAGTGCTCTTGTGTAATCTCATATTAGTACCATTGTGTAATTGTACATTCGTGTACTTCTGGCGCTATTTGTGCAATTATGGGGTTCATGATGTTTTGACGTTATAAACTACCATCCTGATTATTAGTATATTGATGTTGTATTGTACAATAACTATACTCTTGTTTAACACTCATATATGACTCGTGTACCTTGCATTCTCATTTATTATACATTGGGTTTTGATTTTGAAAGAAATAAAAAGTACATGTTATGATATGTGAATATGTGAAAAATACAGGTTATATGAAGTGAATATGTGAAAAGTACAAGTGATATGATTTAAATGACAACAATTATTTTTTTAAGTTTGACATTATATGTCTTATATATGAGAAATGATATTTTGCAGGTTATCTGATAAAAAAATGACTTTAATAAGTCAGTTTTATATGTTCATATATTTTTATATGATAATTACAGTAGTTTGATTATTATTTTTTATATAATGAAATATCTTACTTTAGTTTATAAATGTCTCATTAAATGTATACTTAGCAAGTGATGATTTTCATGCGTAGGAAAATGAGATCAAGTAGATTAAGAAGCTTAGCTTGGCATCACTCACCAAGGTTTACACACCGGTAACATTAATGACATCCACTATTATTTGATTTTCTAGTGGTATGTATACTTGTATAAGTGTTAGCAATGTTTTAATAATGTTTGAGTTGAAATGGATTAGAAACGCTCTGATATGTCTATAGAATTTAAAATGGTTTGTAATAATTTATAGGTGTGAAATTTAGTAAGTATTATAAGATTATGAATATGGAATTTAGTTTTAGACCTTGATAAAGTTAAATTTTAATGGTAAAAAGATGAATTTTTATTTAGGTAGTTTCACTCTTTATATGAAACCGTATTGAATTGTCTTATTATTGCATGAAATCGAACTAGTTTTGAGTGTTAAAATATTATTTTCAATTTTACGTGATCAATTATTTTTTATGTTTAATATTAAATTTGATAATTTAAAAGAAACAAAATTTTACTGAATTTCAAATAGTATATGTTTTAAACTTTGATGTGACATCTCTAAATAGTATATGTTTTAAATTTTGATATGACATCTCTAACTCGTATTCAGGTTTGGATACGAGAAAGGGGTGTTACAAGTACCCCTCTAAAACCTCTGATGGTTACATCTTTCTCAAAACACAGTGAACAATTATGAATCAGTCGAAATTGTTATGCCTTACTACTTTCAAACCATTAACCGGAACACAAAATTGGTAAATGACATCTTCCAACATAATTTTCGTTTCATCACTCGAAAAATGGAAAGTATGCATCTCTTGCCTCCAACGTTCAATGAGAGCCGTAATCAATGTCGGATTCACCTTAAAACCACACAAAACTACAACTAAATACAACCCTAATTGTTACAAATATATAATATTCCACTGATGCGAATCTCTAAGTCTCATTCCTCATTGGTGAACGCTTCGTTCTTCTTCCAGACCGAGCTCAAGCGAAGAAATATGAACATCATCGTGGTGTAACATTTTATTGCATATAGACATTTTTCATAAATTTTCAAAATATTCAAATTTTTTTCTTAAAAACCACAATAAAAAATCTAAAGCCCAAACTCCTATTTATAACCCCAATCCCAGCGGCCATAAACGACTAGATTTTCAAAAATCTGACCAAACTCATCACCTCGACGTACCGAGTTCCATGATGATCGTTGCAATTTGCCTGTTGCAACTGTTCATTGTGCAGCAACTACATACGACTACTTTTTTCTAAATTCAAAGCAAACTCGTCCCCTCGACGTGATGAGATTTGCAGCTTTTTTTCAAAAAATTTAAATTATTAATGAATATGAAAAATAATTCTAAGTGAACTCGCCATCTCGACGTGACGAGTCCCAATGAAAATATTAAAATATTAACCCACATGGAACTCACATACCTAGGACCAATAAAAAAATATTTTCAGATCAACTCATCACCTCGACATGACAAATTCGCAGATAGCAAACTAAAATCTTTGTTAGCCTATTGGGCCAAATAATTTACCCTCTTAGGGTATTGGGGCAAAAAAACCGACTCATGAGTAATTTTAAACATGACAAACTGCAGAGGCAAAAGACTTGGATTAAAATCAAGTCCCAATTGACATCATTGCAAGTAACAATATATGGGTATCTAATTTATAAATCATAGTTGAGTTGAAGGTTTGCAGAGAAGCCAGCTTTAGACAGTTGGTGAGATTTAACCGCAATTCACAAAGTATACTACTGACAAATACAGCAAATCACGGGAAGACTAAACTCTCTTATGCTTCTGTTCCATACTTGGAGGGAGAACCACAAGGTAATCATATCAATTTGCAGAGTATGCTACCATTCCGTAATGAAGTACATAATTGTTCAGCTACAATTGTTTATTATCATGGCTGAAGAAACAAAAAAAAATTTATAGCAAAAATTCTTTTTGCCACAAAAGACTTATTTTGTTGAATCCACATGTGAAATTTCAGCTTGTTTCAAACTTTCCAGAGCAGAGATTCGCCTATCCAGAGGTTCATGAATACTTTTCACCTTGAGACAAAAGAGAAGAGTGAAAAATATAAGCACACAGAGAAAACCCTGATAAGTGACTATAGGCTGAGCACCAGAAAGACAAGCATCAATGTAATCAAACAGGAAAAAGGAATTCATTTCTCTTTCAGTTTGGTAAAACATTTCTAATCATGTATCTGATCAGATGACATCCTTCTCTTTTGGTAGCTCACCTGTTTGACATCAAAGGGTAAATATTACCTCATTGGAATGAGTCTAATTGGGAGCCTTGAGTATTAGAATCTATTGATACACATTAGGCATCTGTTTCACTTGCAATGTTACAATTTACATCTTCGCTCTTGGAGAAATTACTAACTAGTTAGCAGACCGATGATTTGATAGGACACAGTAAAGAACAATCATAGATGAAAGAAGACTTTCTACAGACAGCAACAACTAAACATAGCCAGAAGAAGAGAAAAATGGCACTAAAAGATCATCCTAAATAATTGTACTGAAATAATTTCACAAAATTGTCAGCTGAACGCCTGATGCAGCGAAAAAAAATACTTCATTGCAATGAAGTATTGGTTGAGATCAGGTATTGGGTTTGATCCACAGATTAGCCCTTCCATTGTCAAAAAAAAAAAAAGACAATAAACAAAGAACCAGAATTTAACTAAGAGAGAGGGCAAACAAGGATGGACCCGACCCCTAAAATTTTCAAATCGCAGTATATTTTAGATATTTTCTGTTTATAATCTGTTCCCCTTAGAATTTTATAAGTTCACCCCCTCCTAAAAATTTTAAAGTTTGTCCTTCTAACGTTAAATCATGCGTCCATCCTCGAGGACAAATGAATCCCTTTACCCTAAAGCTTCCCTATGTATAAAAAAATCTAGCCTTTTCATCAAACTTGGAATGTTTTTCTTCCCTTACCAAATAACAGCTGGGATATCTAAACCCAAGGATGCTATAGTTAGGTTAATTTAGACCATGAAATTTCAACCTAAAGAGAGACCATCTTATACTTTTATATAACCATCAACATTCAACATAATCATCAACCATCTAAGCATATACACATAAATTTTCTCCCTCGCATTGCAAATGCATAGTAAACAAGCAATCTCGTAGCAGCAACAATCACATAGAGGGGAAATTATCAAATGAAATTCAGTTTTTCCAAGATTTTGTGTACCTCAATAAACTATCTCCACGATATGTTTTTTGGTAGATAAAGCTTGAAAATGGCATAGATTGGGAAATAGAAATGAACCCATAAATTTATTAAGTAATTGAAAGGTACTGCATATACTATGAAATTAAAACAACGTGAAAAGGAGAATTGCGGGGGGAACGGACCTGCTGGGCGATGGATTGATGGGCAACCTTGTAATCCTCGTAGAGGATGTAGAGACCGACAAACGACGCCGTAGCAGCCCCCGTGAAAAATGAAGCCAATCTCACCCTCAATACGTACCCCATCGTTGATCTTCCCCCTTCCTTTTTTCCTTATTCCTTTTCATCCCTTGTTCTGTCTCCAAACAAACTTAAAACGGGAATCGACCTTACTTACGACACTCAACCTTGTCGTTTCGTCAATCTATTTTAGTAATTTTTTAGCTGTTAATATATATTTTTTTTTCTTTAAGGCTGCATTTGTCCGGACCTAATTTATCATTTTTTTTTCTGTCAATTTAGTTGTTAAATTTGTTTAGAGGCATTATCATAGTTCTAGAAGTTTATTTTGACTAATAGAATCGTTATTCTTTTACGTTTATCGACGCCAGAAATTTTTATATCGGTCAATATTACTGACGTAGCTTGATGATGATGTGATATTTATTAAAATAAATAAATAATAAAGTATTTACTAAATAGTTAGAAAAAAATCCCACAAAATTGATATAATTCTTTAATCTCATTGAAATAAATAATAACTTTTGAGAATTTTTTCTAATAGTTGTGTTTAGTAAATATTTTAACATAATCCCTTAATTCATTGACGTAGAAGACTTACAATTCTATAGTCATAACGATTAACGAACTTCGAGTGCCAAACAACTTCGAGAGCTAAATTGAAGCAAAAAAAAAACCATGTGAGAGAAAATAATAAATTTGGTCTACTACAAGGGTAAAAGTAACCCTTATGTCAACTTTTTTTTTATAAATTATAAATCTAATCCTAATTCTACCTTGAGAGGAAGAGAAGTAAATTGTAAGACAAGGAAAATGCTCTTAATAAATCTAAAAATCATGAACTAAGATAATATAAGGAAACAAATATGAGTACTTTGATTAAACTAAAGTGATTATAAAGTAGTATATGTTCTATATACTTTCATCTATTTGACAATGAACGTACAATCACTCATGTTGCAGTCGTTGGTACTTGAACTTGAGAACTTTAAGAATAACTATTTCTTTAATCACTTATATGACTTAGGGATTAACACTTTAATTAACGTTCTTCGTAGAGTTTTTATAGTATATGCTTTGTACTTGTTATTTTGACTTAATTATAAAATAAGTGCTCACATTATATCTTTTTTCCTAGATAGGTGTTCAAACTTTTTTCGATTCATTTAGGTGTCTAACATTACAAACATTACTACTTTAAGTGTCCCGACGACAACGATCATAAAAAAAATTTCGTTAAAAGTCAATCAACCAATTAATATTTGACATGTGACTTAAGGAAATTCATATCATGATCACTAATAATATGTTGTAATATGTGAAGAAATATGTATGATTATTATAGTTAACAAACATTGCCTCATTGTTGAAGTATGATGAAGGAGCACGCTGCATGTTGAGGAAGCATGCTGATGTGTTCGTACGTGATTGATCAATGGCTAGCATACACGAGCTGTTAGAGCCACGAGTGCAACATGCTGCAGCCTCTGTAGATGCAATAGTTAAATCTGTTAATCAATTTTGAGTCTTGTTAGAGCAGTTACAATTAGTTGAGTTCTTGTAATCTTGATTGCTATATAAGGAGTATATGTGATTAATGAAAGTAGTGAAAAAGTATTATCATTTTCTAAAATTGTTCTTGTCAAATACGAGAGTGTTGAGCTCTCTCAACATGGTATCATTCGCTACTACGTCCTAGGGTATGCTTTCACTGTTCATATTGCTATGGGTCACATCATCTCATCGACAGCCACATCAATGGAGTTCTCGTCAAGAAACACTAAAGTGTTCACCAACAAAAGGGTGAACATTGTCCTGGATGAAACCAACTTTCTGCTGTGGAAGCAACAAGTCCTACTCACAGTAAGGAGCCATCGCCTTGAAAGAATGCTTAATGGTACAATGCTGCCACCTCCAGAAATAGTGGTTGGTGAAGATGGAGTTGCAGCTGCCAATGAAGAACATGAAGAGTTATTGGCTCAAGACAGTGCGTTGGCATCTTGGTTGCTCTTAACGGTTAACCCTCATTTACTTCCACAATTCGTTAGTACTGAGACATCTGCTCAGGTGTGGAACAAAGTCATGCAGTTCTTTGCAAATCGCTCTGCCACTGCCGTCATGAGCTTGCATTACAAGCTCCAATCCCTCAAGAAAGGAACATACAATATGAGAACTTATCTCACAAGGGTGAAAGAGACTATTGATGCCTTGAGCTTATGTGGAAGTCCTGTATCCATATCTGAGCATATTGCAAGTATTCTCAAAGGCCTCACAAGGGAATATCAACCCTTCATTGCAATTATAGCTGCCATGCGTGACACGTTGTCTCTTGATAACATATGCACGATGCTTGTTAATGCTGAAACTCAGCTTGAAGGGTTCGAATGCCAACTCGATTCTCTACCTATCAGTGCTAATCTTGCACAAGGCAAGAGCGAGGTTGACTCTTATAAGAACCGAGAAAAGCAACAGTCTCACTTTAATTACTCGTCCTACACACATGGAAGATCTCGTGGAAGAGGCAGAACACGGCCTAGAATTCAGTGTCAGCTTTGCGGCAAGATTGGTCATCTTGTCAACCAATGTTGGCATAAATTTGATGAGGATTTTTCTGGCATATCAATTAATGATCATGTATCTGGCCTTGAATCCTCAAAAGCGTACTATATTGTAAATGGAAATAATGAAAGTGCTTGTGCTTGTTGTAACCATAGCAGCACGCATCATGATAATAACAAGAGTGTTGTGAAAGGCCAAGCACATGCGACGTCTGCTGGCAAAGACTAGTGGGTAATTGACTCCAGTGAAACACACCATATCACCTCCAATATAGCCTCGATCACTCCTCACTCGGCTTTTAACAACCCTGGTAAGCTAATGGTAGGAAGTGGTGACTATCTACTAGTCCATTTAGTTGGTAAAGCTGAACTACATGCTTCTTCTAGAACCTTAGCCTTAAGTAATATTCTGCATGTTCCTTCAATAACAAAGAACTTGCTTTCTGTTTCATAGCTTGTTAGGGATAACAGTGTATTCCTAGAATTTCATGCCAAAACTTGTTATGTTCGAGATGAAGCCTCCAAGATAATTTTACTGCAAGGAGAAGAGTGCAATGGAATGTACACCTTCAAAGCAAGTGGAACTCGATGCAAAGATGGTTTGGTTGAAGCACAGACTGCTATAACTTCCCCCCACAACCTCAAAAATTTGGCACAGAAGACTGGGACATCCAACATTTGATACATTTGCTAAAATTTGTAAACAAATCAATGTAAAAACACTTGATGATGTTAATAAGAATTGCATTGCTTGTCATCTTGGTAAAAGCCACAAGTTACCATTCAGTCGCTCGGACAGTGTTTACAACAAACCATTCGAGCTCGTGCATTCTGATATGTGGGTACCTCTACACGTATCATCTAATGGCTTCATGTTTTATGTATCCTTTGTTGATGTTGCCATACGTTTCACGTGGTTATATCTGCTAAGAACAAAAGCTGAAGCCTTAATTGTTTTTCTCCTTTTTCAGAAGCTAGTTGCTACGCAATTCGCTGGAACAATCAAATCTCTCCAAACTGATTGGGGAGGCGAGTTTCATCCTCTGACCGATGAGTTAAGCAAAGTTGGAATTATTCATCGTCTCACTTGTCCCCATACGTCCGAGCAGAATTGAGTAGTGGAACGAAAGCATAGACACCTAGTTGAGATGACTTTAGTATTGCTTGTACAAGCCTCCATACCTATTAAATTCTGGTCTTATGATATTCAAACCACAGTGCACCTTGTTAACAGACTGCTACCAAAGGTGCTTCTAGACAAATCTCCATTTGAGATGCTTCATGGGAAAACACCAGACTAAAGCAGACTGCGGGTGTTTGGATATAGGTGTTTTCCGCATCTAAGGTCGTTTCATCAGCACAATCTTGAGTTTAGATCCCAGCTGTGTACATTCTTAGGATACAGCTCGCAACACAAAGGATTTCAGTGCTTAGCAAGCAATGGGCATGTTTACACTTCCAGGCATGTGATATTTAATGAAAACATATTTCCTTTTACAGGAAACTCTGTTGGAACTCTTGTAGAAGCTTCAATTGGGCAGACATCTCAGTCACTTAAATTGGTCACTGATGTCGCCAACTTGAAGCCTTCACGACATGATAGTAACAGGCTGTCACCAAGTGCTAGCAGTAACAGACCGACGAGCAACCTACAAGGTACAACTGCCAGTCATGGTGTGGTACGAACTGAGTTTGCTCCTGAAGTTCCTACTGTTGATACTCTTGAAGATCATCAGCATGAAGTACACTCAGAACAAAATGCCCATAGCTTGTCCATAAATGGTGGCACTGACATTGAGAAACAAGATGTACATAGCTCGACCATTAATGATGGCACTGACATTGAGGAACAAGATGTGCATAGCCCGACCGTAAATGAAGACGCTGAAAATGAGGTCGTTTGAGTCAATAATCATCCGATGGTGACTCGGAGCAAGCGTGGGATATTTAAACCTAAAACATACTTAGGAGCTGCAGATGATGATGTTCCATGTAGTATACATGAAGCACTTCAGTCACCAGATTGGAAGGTAGCAGTTTTTGAAGAGTATAATGCTTTACAACGCAATGGCACTTGGGAGTTAACGAAACTGTCAGAATGTAGGAAGGTGATAGGTTGCAAATGGCTATTTCAAGGTCAAGAGAAACCCTGATGGCACCGTTCACCGTTACAAAGCACGATTGGTGGCTAAAGGTTTCTCCTATATTCCAGGTCATGATTTCAGGGATACTTTTAGCCCCGTAGTCAGGTTCAACACGCTAAATGTCATATTTGTTTTTGGCTGTAGCGAACAACTAAACCTTAAGACAGCTTTATGCGAACAATGCCTTCCTGAATGGTAACCTTCAGAAGCTGGTCTTCGTGCAGCAGCCACCAGGCTTCGAACAAAATGCCCCTGATGGAAGTAAACAGGTGTGTTGTCTGAAAAAGGCGATGTATGGTTTGAGACAAGCACCGAGGAGTTGGCATACCAAGCTATGAGATAACTTATTGAGCATAGGGTTTAGAGAATCAAGAGCTGATGTATCTCTGTTATTAAGAAGAAGGGTA